CGCATTGTCGATGATGCCGGCCATGCAAATAACTCTTCCTTGAGCAATTCCATCTTGGCAGTGTTATCTATGGCAGCGATCAATGGACGGTTAGTCCCGCTAATTCTCTGCATCAACAACAAAACACATTAGGGGCTTAGATGGCCTTCAGAAACCCTTTGTACGAGCTGCTTTGAATCATATGAATGAAAACACATAAGTACAAGACATGCATCAATTTTATAAGATAACAATGCAAATACAAATGAAAGGAAAATCACAAAAGTTGTCATTTAGATACTCTATCTGAAGGGAAAATCAGGGCCGGTCCTGATATTTCGGGGGCCCAAGGCGAAATTACAACCAGGGACCCTACTATAAAGATCAAAATAATAATCTCATTTTTTAGTTCATTCCTTTACTTAACTTATTATTGTCTATTGTTCCAAAATAACACAAAATTTGTAAATGGTGTATTCCTTTACTTAATTAGACAAATCGAATACTTGATAGAGGGCAAACATCAAGATGAAAGGTTTATAAAGTTTTAAAGCTTCATTTGCAATAATAAAAGATCATTTACCTACCCGATGGCTATGGGAGTCTGAGTGGCTTTGTTATATAACCATGCTTGGATTGAAATTATGCACGTAAGAATAGTTGAGACCTTCTTCCAATTTTTAAGTTAAATTTGCAGTCATGATGATTTGGAGAGAGAATGCAAAGACCGACAATCGAACACATAGTAGGCAATTTTTTCAATAGATAAGGCGATTGGTGTTGTGTTGACAAAGTCTAGATTGAAGTAAGAAATAGAGCAACGGGCACACGAAATCAAAATTTTGTACTGCATCATATGCGAGACCTTCTAAGATCTGACTGCGGCTGCACCATATGAACGTGACCAACTAGAAAAAGGAGGTTAGGGATGACCTTACAAGTGGGGTGGCTTCGTCTTGCAATGAGAGGCATCTCGCGAACGCGGGATAACACAACGGGCCCGGGGACCTGGAGGAAGACCAGCCGGCCGCATGGCGGAGAGCGATCTACATCGGCAGCGCGTCTCACGATCGGGGCCCTCGGGGAATAGTATCGTCGCGAAGCTGCGAACTCGTGATGGAAAGAAGGAAAACATGAATACTCGTGGACTACGTGCGTCTAGGTCGCTGCCTCCTTATGGTCTGGGCCATGGGCTCCTTGCGAACCCTGGAGGGGGCCCCTAGATTTCGGGGGCCCTGGGCGGCCGCCCCCCTGCCACCCCCTCAGGGCCGGCCCTGGGGAAAATATCCGAAGGAATAAAATTCACAAACTCTCTTCCAACCAAACAAGCCGTAATGATGGATGGTAGGACCGAGTCAATGTAGACGTTTGTTGCCCAAAATGTGCAAACATGTTTAAGATTCAATTTATGACCGATATTTCATAACCTGGCGTCCCTCTAGAAAGATGGAGTAGCCAAAGAAAAACAAAAGGCACAATAAAATTACAAATTTAAAATTCTAAAATCCAAATGACAAAATTAGATGCATTGAAGCATGTTGGATCAATAAAATATAAATTTTGATTTACTAAAATCCAAATACACCATGAATCGTGGCGACAAAATGATTTATTCTCCTCACCGGACGGTAAGCATATTAACACCGCCCCAGTAAGCCTAAATATAGCTACCCGCAAAAAAAAAGCTTGAATATAGCCACACCACAGAAGCGTTATTGTCATTTTCGGCAGTTTTGTCCAATTAGCAATGGACCATTCGCACCTGTGCAACTGAAGCTTCTTTTTCACAAGGATGAATATGAGAGTGCTCTCATCTCATGCGACGGTCAAAACCAGACAGCCACACCTGTTTTTTCTTTTTACCTTTTTATCTTCCTTCTCCGCTCGCCAAACCTTCACAATGAATAACGTTAATTTATTCTGTTGGATTGGCTTCAGGATTAAGGTAATCCAAACAGCGAGCTAACCCCACATCACACACAACCACACGCACGCACACAGCAACTTCTCAGAGGATTCAGGGCTATAAATACGCCCCCTCCACATTCCAATTCGCCTCGTCAGCACGCGAAATACGCCAATTCACCGGCCCAAATCCCAATTCACCACGAACGACGGAACGAGTCGCTCTCCAGGCAGCAGCGGGCAGCAGATGGTGGCGACGGGGGACGCGGAAGAGGCGGCGGCGGGGTGCCGCGCGCGGGCGGCGCTGCTGGGCGGGTACGAGCTGGGCCGCACGCTCGGGGAAGGCAGCTTCGGCAAGGTGAAGCACGCGCGGCACCGCGCCACGGGGGGCCACTTCGCCGTGAAGATCCTGGACCGCGGCAGGGTGCTCTCCCTCCGCGGCGCCGACGACCAGGTCCGCAGGGAGATCGCCACGCTCACCATGCTCGCGCACCCAAACGTCGTCCGCCTCCACGAGGTAATTAGTACTACTCACTAGTAGTAATCGCGATCTCGGCTCCTGTTCTTCTCTCGGTGCTAGATGCGTGTATAGAAAGTTTAGAAACCATAGATTGAGTACCCTTGGTGGAGAAACTGTGGAAAAAATATTTTTAAATTTTAAATACCTTGTCGAGCTTGCGAGCAAGGGTGCTTGAACTACGGGCACGCCACGGTTGGAATGACGCTACAATTATCAACCAGAGATTCCTTAAGGAAAGGGATAGTTCGTGGTGGAGATTACAAGCATCATCATCATAATGTTTATTTATCTACATATGTTTTCCTACATTCATAGCAACACAAACCTATAATTTCGGGATTCTACTTTGTATATTAATAGTCTATATATACAACTTCATTCCGCGTTACACATGGAGGATGTCGAACTGGGTTACAAAACATTGACCAGCTTGATGACCGGGAAGAATCGTGCTGCAATTATTTAAAAATTTGACGCCGGAGGGGAAAGAGCCCGTTGGTCTTCTATGGGGTAGTATAAGGAGAATGTTCTGTCAAGTCGACGGTTGCGGGAGGCTTGTACTCGGGACGGCGATAACGTATCAGTACATCCGGGCACGCCACAGCACGCCACAGCTTGTACTCGGGATTGCAAGCACCATCATAATGTATTTGTCTATATATGTTTTCGTACATTCATAGCACTTATCAATAATTGTAGCCTGTAGGGATTGCATTGGATATTAGCATTTGTCTATACGTAGCGCGTTGCGCGTAGACCACTAGACCTGTAGCAGCACGTGGAGTTGGAGGCAGATTCAGCTCCAGGCCATTCACTTCTCTATTTTAGGATTAATGCTTGATTTGGATCGCATGTGTAGCCGTCAAGTATATCCAATAATGCCAACCAGCTGCTGCCCCGTCCCTATCTTTATGACTATGCCATGATCTTACTATTTATTTTCTGAGAGACAGAATTTCTTTGGGTCTCTTGTGGTGCACATGAGCATATGAATTCATCGACGTGGCCCGTTTAAATAATATCAGTGTCGTAATATTAATCCTGTAATTCTTTTAACTCTTGATTCAGGTTGCTGCTAGCAAAACAAAGATCTACATGGTGCTTGAGTTTGTCAATGGAGGAGAACTGTTTGACAGGATTGTAAGCCCCTATAACTTTTACTTTCAACTATCTGAAAGCTTGCTTTGCATTATAAAATTCTCTGCCAGGTACATTGGTCAGTTCTAACACTTTGAGTTGATTTTTTTCCTGCAAATAAAAGGCAATGAAGGGAAAACTATCCGAACGAGAAGGAAGAAGACTTTTTCAGCAGCTAATTGATGGCGTGAGCTATTGCCATGGAAAGGGTGTCTACCACAGAGACCTTAAGGTACTGGCGACTGAAGTTTTCTTTTCTTTTCTTTTGAAGAATCTGGGGCAAACAATTATCTAACATAATTATTTCTCATATATCATGGCATTATGGTTGATTGCTCTGTGTTCTCCTGACTTATCCTACTGCTACATGTTACAGCCTGAAAACGTTCTGATTGACCGAAAAGGCAACATCAAGATCTCTGATTTTGGTCTATGTGCTTTACCTCAACATCTCGGGGTATGGCAGAAAAATTTCCTTGTATTGATCATTATATTTTCGTTGATTTTTCTGTTGCGAGGATATTTTCATTTCGTTGAATTTAAAGTCTGCAACTTTTCAGAAGGATGGATTACTGCATACAACCTGTGGTAGCCCCAACTATATTGCACCTGAGGTAAAAGACTAGCCACCTTGGGACGAGTTATCTGTTTTACGGTATATTTGCTAATTCTCGTGCCAAATATATCCAGGTTCTGCAGAACAGAGGTTATGACGGATCACTGTCGGATATCTGGTCTTGTGGAGTAATTCTTTACATAATGCTCATAGGCCAGCTTCCGTTTGATGACCGAAATATGGTTGTTCTTTATCAGAAGGTAGACATTCATTTAAAAAAAACTAAAAACTTAAGTGATATCTGGTGCTTTGTTCTGATAGTTCTATGATTCCATTCCAATAATACTACTGTTATGTGGTTGCGTGTAGATTTTCAAGGGTGACGCTAAGATCCCGGAGTGGCTTTCGCCTGGTGCACAAAATATTATTAAGAGGATTCTTGAACCAAATCCGATGAAGAGAATCAACATGGCAGAGATCAAACAACACGAATGGTTTCAGAAAGACTATATTCATGTTGGTCCATATGATGACGATGATGAAGATGTACGGCTTGGTGCAATTCTGCCTGTGAAACAGGTATGGCAAGATGACACAAACTGTTTAATGCTGAAGACCAATTTATGACCTAATATAGGCATCTGTGTTGCGTATTTGTAGCCGCTGATAGGTGATTTTTTGTTTCCTTTTTCTATCCAGAAGCAAATTAGTGAAGCACCTGGGGACAAGAGTACTCGTCAGATGAACGCTTTTCAGCTGATCGGAATGGCATCTTCCCTCGATCTTTCTGGGTTTTTTGAGGAAGAGGTATAAAAATATTTTCAGTAATTTCTTTCTTGTGCCTCCCTTGCTATAATCAGAATGATTTAATCTGCAAAATTGGGAAGAAAAATCATATGCATAGTTTCTCAAGATGTTTTAGATCAAGATGATCACTGAATGCTGCCACTGCGGCCTCATAGAACAACTCATCTCATCCAGTTGGACTTATTGCAGGGAGTGTCCCAGAGAAAGATCAGGTTCACATCAGCACTTCCACCGAAGGATTTGTTCAACAAGATTGAAGTAACGGCAACGCAATCGGGGCTCCACGTTCAAAGAGTGCATAGCAAGGTGAGCACAAGCTTCTCATCATCACATTGTAGAGATTTTTCGTCATCACATTATTGAGTACAACTTTTGAAGGAACTGAAAATGATGTGCCGTGTTATATTTCAGCTCAAAATAACGGGCAATTGCAATGGAGCGAACAACCCTTTGCCATTCTTAGTCTGTGTCGAGGTATAATTCGGTGAGCTGCACTTTTCTTCAGTGAAATGCATGGGAATGATAACCGATGGAGATCAGCTGCTAACATCTAGGGTGCTGCTTTTCTATCCCAGGTGTTTGAGCTCGGCCCCTCTCTGCATGTTGTTGAGCTTAGGAAGTCCCACGGTGACCCTGCAGTGTACAGACAGGTAGGCAAGAGTGCTATCAGCAACTAGATTTGCCACTGCCATAACTTCACTCTACACATCTTGAGTGCTGGTGGTTATTGAGTGAATGACTTAATGATGCTGCTTTCTTGAAATTTATTTTTGCAGCTCTGCGATAGGATCTCGGGTGACCTGGGGATTGACAAGATATTCAGGATGGAGCAGCTCTTTGACGACGATCTCCCCAGCTTCGACAGCAGAGGCGCGACGCCACTGGTTGCCTTGTGACGAGTGTTGTGTTGTACCCCCACACTGACAAGATGTTGTAGGACCTAGGATCATAGCTCTTCAGGGATTGGAAATGACGGTGAGGGATAAGGATTAGGATCATATAGTGTATAGATGTACAGATAACCGATTGGTGAAAACTGACTGTCGGCGATGTAAATGAAAAAAAAGCTGAAGAAAGGAACATTGACATATAAGAGATGAATTGTTGACCTGGTTTTGTTACTTCTTATTATCTGCGCCATTCATCTCCACTTGTTCTAACCAATACATCAAGAGTATGAGAAGGATCCCTATTCTAAAATAAATATACGACCGTGAGGTACTAGCAAAAATCAAAAAAACTAGGGAAGCAAAAATTCAAAATAAACTATTGCTATCCCTAAAAAAAACCACTCCCACTGTTCACAAATATAAGATGTTTTAGATATTTCAATATGGACTACATGCGGATTGAAATGAGTGAACAAACGCACTAAAATGTGTATATGTACCCGATTCACAAAAAAATTAGAACTTATATTTGTGAACGGAGAAAGTATTACTCTATAATACTGCTCAAGACAACGTTTTAGAAAAATAGGGAGGTGGTTCTTGGTTCCATCAGCCAGAATGAAAACCACGAGTAGCTCATACAATACTTTGAACTGCAGCATGCCATGCTTGACACAACTCAGTCTGCTATGAGAAGCACTGAACAGGGAGCCTCGGTTGATATAGATGGTGAGAATAATTCTGATACAACTGCTCCTCCTGGTTTCCCTCACCCTGTTTACCTTCCTCATGTGGATCTGCAAGTCGATGCAGTCTCAAAGGAGGAGGCTCTTCTAGGAAAGGAAGGAGCCTGTATCTGGCAAAAATATTCCCCCCTGATGTCGCTTGAAGCTACGTCGGTATTTTCTCAAAGAGGAAAGGATGATGCAGCACAACAGCGGTAGGTATTTCCCTCAGATATGAAACCAAGGTTATCGAACCAGTATGAGAACCAAGCAACACAACGTAAATAGCACCTGTACACAAATAACAACTACTCGCAACCCGACATGTAAAAGGGATTGTCAATCCCTTTCGGGTAGCGGCATCAGAAATTGGCAAACGGATGTGAGAGAGTTGTAAATATTGATAGATCGAATGCCAAATAAAATAAATTGCAGCAAGGTACTTTTGTATTTTTGGTTTAGTGGATCAGAAAATAAAAGGCAAATAAAATAGATCGCAAAGGCAAATAATATGAGAAAAAGACCCGGGGCCGTAGGTTTCACTAATGGCTTCTCTCGAGAATAATAGCAAACGGTGGGTAAATAAATTACTGTTGGGCAACTGATAGAACTTTAAATGATCATGACGATATTTAGGCAATGATCATTACATAGGCATCACGTCCAAGATTAGTAGACCGACTTCTGCCTGCATCTACTACTATTACTCCACACATGGACCGCACCCAGCATGCATCTAGTGTATTAAGTTCATGGAGAAACGGAGTAATGCAATAAGAACGATGACATGATGTAGACAAGATCTATCTATGTAGAGATAGACCCCATCGTTTTATCCTTAGTAGCAACAATACATACGTGTCGGTTCCCCTTCTATCACTGGGATCAAGCACCGTAAGATCGAACCCACTACAAAGCACCTCTTCCCATTGCAAGATAAATAGATCAAGTTGGCCAAACAAAACCCAAATATCGGAGAAGAAATACGAGGCTATAATCAATCATGCATAAAAGAGATCAAAGAAACTCAAATACTTTCATGGATATAAAAAGAGATAGATCTGATCATAAACTCGAAGTTCATCGGATCCCAACAAACACACAGCAAAAAGAATTAAATCATATGGATCTCCGAGAGACCATTGTATTGAGAATCAAGCGAGAGAGAGAGGAAGCCATCTAGCTACCAACTACGGACCTGAAGGTCTATAAAGAACTACTCACACATCATCGAAGAGGCACCAATGGAGGTGGTGAATCCCATTCGTGATGGTGTCTAGATTGGATCTGATGGTTCTGGACTCTGTGGTGGCTAGAATTGATTTTCGCCGACTCCCCAAGGGTTTCTGGAATATTGGGGTATTTATAGAGCAAAGAGGCAGTCCGTGGGGCACCCGAGGTGGGCACAACCCACCAGGGCACGCCTGGGCCTCCTAGCGCACCCTGGTGGGTTGTGCTCTCCTTGGAACACCCCCCAGGCGCAGCCTTGGCCCATTAGGTGTCTTCTAGTCCATAAAACATCTCCGTAAAGTTTCGTGGCATTTGGACTCCGTTTGGTATTGATTTTTTGCGATGTAAAAACATGCAAAAAAGCAGCAACTGACACTTGGCACTATGTCAATAGTTTAGTACCAAAAATGATATAAAATGACTATAAAATGATTATAAAACATCCAAGATTGATAATTTAACAACATGGAATAATCAAAAATTATAAATACGTTGGAGACGTATCAGCATCCCCAAGCTTAACTCCTACTCGTCCTCGAGTAGGTAAGTGATAAAAATAGAACTTTTGATGTGGAATGTTGCCTATGATGTCATATCATATTCGTTTCTTTATAGCATGGACATTTGGACTTTTATATTGTTCAAAGCCATAATCTAGTTTTGACATGATAACTTAAATACTCAAGCATATCAACAAGCAACCATGTCTTTCAAAATATCAACGCTAAAATAAGCTATCCTTGCCCCATCATGATTAATCATTGATCCATCATGAAACACACTCGCATATTTACTACACCCAATGCTCAAGTACAATCATAGTGTCTCCTAGTTGGTGCTTTATAAGAGAAGAAGGAGACTCAAATTCAAAATAAAAATGGCATAAAGTACAAAGAAAGGCCCTTCACAGAAGGAAGTAGGGATTTGTAGAGGTGCTAGAGCTCAAAGCGAAAAAATAGAGATAAAAACATTTTGGGAGGTGTATCCATCCCACCAACGAAAATGACTTAGAGTTCGCAACACTTTCCATGCTAGATATATCATATGCGAATCCCAAATAGAAAATAAAGTTTATTTCTTTTTCCACCATACTTTCACTTTTTATGGCTAACCGTATCCACGGGTGCCTTCCATACCAACACTTTCCAAGGAATTTATTATTTGACAACATAAAGTAAATTCATTTTTTCATTTCAGGACTGGGCATCCCTAATACCTTTGCCTTACTCTCGTGCAATGACAAGTGAATAAACACTCATCGTGAGAATAAAACATCTAGCATGGAAAATATTAGCCACCCCTCACTGCTCCACGAGCGAGACAAACACACAAAAGAGAAATTTATTTTGAAAATTAGAGATGGCACATACAAATTTGCTTAGAACGGCAAAATAATACCGCATATTGGTAGATATAGTGGACTCATATGGCAAAACTGGATTAAAGGTTTTTGGATGCACAAGTAGTGATCATACTTAGTGCAAAATGAAGGCTAACAAAAGATTGGGAAGCGACCAACCAAGAAATGAATAATCTGATAAGCGAGCATTAAGCACAATTAACACCAAATAATGCACCACAAGTAGGATATAATTTCATTGCATAATTATTGACTTTCGTGCTTGCATAGGGAATCACAAACCTTAACACCAATATTCTTACTAAAGCATAATTATTCCTCAACATAACTCACATATCACATCATCATATCTCAAAACTATTACTAAGAATCAAGATTATTTTGTCCAATGATCTTCATGAAAGTTTTTATTATATCCTTCTTGGACATCTATCACTTTGGAACTAATTTTCATATGTTGCTTTTGACAAGCTCAAACAAATATAAGTGAAGATCATGAGCATAATTTTTCTTTCTCTCAAATTAATTTAATTGAAGTAAGAGAGCATTTCTTGAAAATTTTACTAACTCTCAAATAAATCTAAGTGAAGCAAGAGAGCATTTCTTCAAAAATATTAAAGCATGCAATGCTCAAAAAGATATAAGTGAAGCACTAGAGCAAGTCCATAGCTCAAAAAAATTAAGTGAAGCATAAAGAGAAATTCTAACAAGTCATGACATAATTTTGGCTCTCTCAAATAGGTGTGTCCAGCAAGGAATCAAGACTTAAAACACAAAATAATTCAAAGCAAAGACTCACATCATACAAGATGCTCCAAGCAAAACACATAGTATGTGACAAATAAAAATATAACTTCGAGTAAAATACAGATGGTCGTTAGAAGAAAGCGGGGATGCCACTCGGGGGCATCCCCAAGCTTAGTTGCTTGCTCTCTTTTGGATAATAGCGGGGGATGCCGGGGTGTAACATCCCAAAATTCTAAATTTTGGAATGTTATAATAAATAGATAGATTGATTGATTGTTTGATTGTTGTGTGATTGATTGAGTGAAATTCGAAACGTTTTGAAAGTTAAATGAGAGGGAATAAAAGGACTTTCCCAAACTTTCATTTTTCATTCGTGATCTCCATGAATTCAAATTCTTTTCAATCCAAAACCCTAGAGAGAAGATGACATGACTTCTTCCATTTAAAATAAATGAAAAGGGTGTTTGAAAAATATTTGAATTCCATTGGGAATTATTTTCCAATTCAGAAACTTTATGCAACTCAATGATTTTCACGAGAGAAGATAAAATGACTTTTTCAAATTATGAAATATGAGTTGGGAGTTTCAAAGATCACATTTAAAGTCTTTTTTTGAATTTATTTTCAATTTGGAGTTATTTGAGTTTTATTCAAATTATTTTTCTCCAAAAATAAAATATATGGAAAATAGGGTAACATTATTCCCTACATTAGAAAATTGGAGAAAAATTAATTTGAAATCATTTTGGTATTTTTAAAATGATTTTTGTTGGATTTTAATAGACCAGTAGCACTCTTTATCTGAATTTGTGTGGATTTTATTCGAAGTTAGAAAAATGTTCATATTGTAGGAAATATTTTTCTGAAAATTTTGATATATTATATGCCTATATAATTTTTTTATTTATTTTGCTTTTATTATTTTTATTTGTCTCGAAATGTTTTAAAAAAAACTTTCTAACTGGGCCGGCCCAGCCAACCGGGCCAGGCCGCAGCCCAGCCGCGCCGCACCGCCCCCAAGCTCAGGACGGAGTCCCGAGCATCGCCGCCGCCAGCCGGAGTCCGGCCGGACTCCGCGTCCGCCTCGCCTCTTCTCCCTTAAATAGCGGAGCCCTGGGCCCCCTCCCTCGAGTTCCGCCGCCGTCCCTCGCCTCGCATCTTGCCGCCACAAGTCGCCGCGCCGCCGCTGCAGCGCTGCCGCCCCACGCCGCCGGTTGCCACTCGCGCCGCTGCCGTTGCCACTACCGCTGCCGCCCAGTGCCGCCGAGGCCGAAGCCGCTACCGCACCCCGCCGGAGCCACCGCGCCGCCGTCCCGTCGCTAGAGTTGCTGCCCGCCGTCGCCGGGGATCGCCGGAAATCACCGCCGTTGCCGGAACCGCCCGCCGGCCGATACACCACCCGACCCACCGGTTTCTCCCGGTCCGGTATAAAACCGTCCCCGGTTTGCCGGTTTTCTTTTAGGTTTAGGTTTTCTTCGGTTTTGTTTAAGAACCTGTTTTTTTATATTTAGTTTAGTTACTTAGCGAACGTTCATCAGATTAGATTCGGTAGCAAACGATTTTCGTTCTGTAAGTTTTTGTAGCGAGCGTTCGCTCGATAGATTTTTCCTTTTCTTATTAAATTCGGCTAGGGACCTATATGTGAGGATTTTCTTTACAGATTAGTCCCTGTTCATCAATCGATCACTACTTTTTACTCGTTAGTCCAAATCCAATGAAACCAACGCTCATGTCTTCGTTATGATCCCCTCTTTCCAGTAATCCAACTCAAACATGTTTTTGAAATTTTAAAATTTGAATTACATCAGATTTGAATTCAAACTTCTTTGGAGCATAACTTGAGTTTCGTAGCTCCGTTTTAGTTGATTCTTTTTGTAAATCG